CTCGCAAACACCGCGGCGCTTGGACGCGGCCGAAGAGTTGCATGGAGATCACACGTGATGAGCGGGGAGGAACACGTGTTACTCACTCGTGGCCCCCGCCGCGCGCCCCGTTTGCAGAGCCACGCCCGCAAAGGGGCACACGCCTCCACCTAGCTAGCACCATGCGGAGGTTGAGCGAGTAGGGGATGCTCATCAGCTTCTCTGGAGCATACAAGTCAGATCTAGAGTCAGAAGAGTCACGAGTCAAGAGCAGCGATAGCCACGAGTGTGAAGAGTGGGAAGGGTGAATCTTGAGTCGATAAGAGCCAGACAGGAGGCTTCAGCTTCCGTAGCGCTACTTCGACCACCGTTTGCCCCCGCCGTTCAAACCTGCTCATCGGCCCCTTGCGACATCATACAAGTGAAGCTCGCAGGAGCCTTCTTGCGCTGCTCCACGCGTCTTGGGAGATGTGTCTGTAAGTGCGCGGAGGATGGCGTGGTGAAGAACAAGCATGTTCAAAGTCGCGAGTGCAGGTCCAAGTCACACGATCTAAGCTCTCGAAGCTCTCGCAAGAAGTCAACCAAGCTCTGCAGAAAAAGGCGTCGAGCATACAGCCAAACATGCAAGCAGCATCCACTGCTGTCGAGGAGCAAGACCCCGTTGCGGCCTCAGCGCCAGGCTGTGCTCCCCACACCTACGCGCCCTCCGCAACGCTGGCGCGCGCAACCTATCGACATCTGCTCTCCTCCTCTTCTCTGGTACCCAGCAACCCGTTGCGCGTCATTGCCCACTGCGACGTGGATGCGGCCTATGCAGCTTTCGAAGGTCGACGATTAGGTTTGGATCCTCACGCGGTGCCGTTGGCCGTGCAACAATGGACAGGTCTCATAGCCGTCTCCTACGCCGCTCGAAGAGCAGGAGTGACGCGCTTCATGAACATTGAAGAGGCCAAGCAAAAATGTCCGGATCTGAGATTGGTGCACGTCTGCACGTATGCTGTGAGTCTGCGGCTTGCCTGCTGTGCAGATTGTCAAGGATGCGAGAGAGGATGAGCTCACTGTCAGCTGAGCCCTGTCCTGCGCATACATCCAGCCTGGCTC